CGATTCAGCACCCTACAAACTATATAATTTACCAAAAATATACAATGCAGATGAAAAAAGCATTTTTTTTTCATTGTATTATTATGCGATAAATAACTTGTAAATTTTGCTCTGAGGATGTCATCATAAATGAAGAAATACCATCGACAAAGTCAGTGTCGGTACTTTGGCCCTGGTCTCAAAACTACTAATAAATTATTCTCTATATTGTCTGACTGATTGTTAAGGGTAGGAAAATGTTTATAATTAAAAAATATTGTATTAATAGCGTCTCGACATTTAAATATTGTTAAAAAATATAATGGTCTAAGATCCGAAGTAAGGTCGACCTTCACCCATCTGTTTCTTTTTATTAAATAAAATAGGTTTATAAATATACCGCAAATGGGTTGCCTAAAAAAATACGGTCATGACTATTTTTTACGTAAAGTAAAAAAAAACGACACCCTGTAAAGTATTCCCCAGATGCTTCGACTATACCCTAACTTTAATCAGCTCACCGCACGATGGATTAAAGCTTAAGTTTAAAATTTGGTATTTTTCTCTTTATCCGATTTTGAGTTATTTTCAAAATTTGAAATTTTCACTTTTCCTCAAATATCTCGAAATAGGTCAATTGTAGGGAAATTATGTATAGGAACAAAATTATAGAGAACGACATCACAAGCATTTTTTATCATGATTCCCATACTTTTCTTATCTTTATACAGAAAGAAAAGTAAAAAATGGACGTGACCGTATTTTCTTAGACTACCCATTTGCGGTATATTTATAAACATATTTTATTTAATAAAAAAAACATCCATTAAACATATGGGTGAAGGTCGACCATACTTACGGATCCTGTACTATAATAAATATACAAATAAAATCATTTTTTTATTTTGTTCTTAGGTGTCTATTATTGCAATAATTATATAAACGTTTTTGTGTTAGGTATAGTTTTTTATGTAGCCCCACAGGACGCTTTTTTAAAAAATTCGGCGTCAACTGTTTGGCGGTTTCCATGGCAACCGCGAAAAACCACCTAAAATCGTGTTTTTCGACCGACGGTACCGCGCTCAGCCAATTGGGTGCACGTAAGAAGGGAGTTTGTGTTATTGGTAGATGCTCAATATATCCAAGGTGGTCGAAGGGGGCGTGAGAATTGTCACCTGTCAACTGTCACTTTTTTATGACGTTTTGAAAATTTCTTTATCGTTTTTCGACGGTTTATTAAAAACAAATAATTTTTTTAATATTTTTCCCAAACATCCTTTGCCCCTCTCTAACTCACCACGCACATAGAAATTTCGTCTGGCGCTATTTTTTTTCGGCCAAATTTCGTATGAGGGGTTTCCGGCCGACTTTAAAAAATCGTACCGTCCGAACGAATAAACCGATTTCCATGAAACTTGGTCCGACGATGTAGACCCACGAGACGCTTTTTTAAAAAAATCGGCGTCAAAATCTGTTTCCATAGCAACCGCGAAAAACCACCAAAAATCGTGTTTTTCGACCTACGGTACCGCGCTCAGCCAATTGGGTGCACGTAGGAAGGGACAAAGAGTAAATGAAGATTATCTGATAAAAAATAAGACGATTAAACGAAACATTCTCAGATAAAATATTACTAGTTTCCAAAATACAGGGTGTTACATTTGAAAATTCAAAAATTATTAAATGCTATAAATTTTTTATTTCTCAGTATAATTTTATTAATTCAGTAAGAATTTTTGGTACCAGCAAAACAACCAATTAAACAAATTCTGCCAGTGACGTGCGGCATGGATAAGTAACACCTTCATCCCTCTAAATTTTTCGCCACTGTCCAAAAACTTATTTGGACTATAATTTTACACTTTTTAATTGTTTCTAAATAAATCATGTACTATTGTTGGGATCTCATAAAGATATTCACACTCAAAGGTGGATATTCTTTATTATAATTTATTTTTTAAATATATAATTTGATTTTTTTTATAAAATTGCACTGAGCAAACGTTTTTAGTGTCATAAGATAGACCAATCAGCAAAAAAATTAGTTAAATATACTTTGCCGGGTAAGTAACAACTTTATTCCTTCTAAATTTTACCTCACTCTCCAAAAGCTTATTTGGCTTATAAAAATGTTTTTTAAATAAAATAAATCATGTACTCTTGTTGGAAATTTATAAAAAAAATACAAAATAACAACATTTAAAAAAAAATTAAAATGTTGAATATTCACCTTTAGGTGTAAATATCTCGAAAACCAATCACTTTATGAGTTCCCAACAAGAGCAGATGATTTATTTAAAAAAATGTAAAAGTAGAGTCAAAAATATGTATTTGAAAAGTAGCGTAAAATTCAGAGAGGATGAAAATGTTACTTATACGTGTCGTACGCCACTGGTAGAGTTTATTTAAATGATTGTTTAGTTAATCGGTGTATCTTAAAACATCAACAATGTTTACCATAGTTAGTAAAATTATAGTAAGAAATAAAAAAATTATAGCCATTATTAATTTTTGAATTTTCAACTTTAACACCCTGTATTTCGGAAACCAATAATATTTTATCAAAGTATGTTTTGTTTAATCGTCTTATTTTAATTCAGAGAATCTTTAGTTTCTCTATGTCCCATTCTTAATGAGACACCCTGTATATTATTGATCTGTAGATATAGATATACGATCATAAAATATTGGTGCAAAAATGGAAATAGTAGTAGTTACAATAACAAGTGCAGAAAATAACATAATATGTTAACGATGTGTCAAATTTCGCCGTCAGAAGCTAATGCTAGTAACACAGTATACTTTTTCTCGCCTTTTCAATGACCACAATGGCTAAAACGAGAATCACACGTTTGTTATTAAATAATTTGTTAATCTATATAAACTTTTTTTTTTTAATTTAATTAAGTAACTTGATTTGAGTTCTTCTTCAGTTTTCATGTTTAGATCTGGACCACTAAAATTACAGAAGTAATTTTTAAATAATTATTAGCAAACAATTTATTAAATATTTCCTTATTTCCTCCGTATACAGAGCGTTTCACTAATATTAGCCCATACAATAACTGGATAATTTTACAAAAATGTATGAGGATTTAAGGTAAAATATGCTTCCTTATTAAGATAGTCACCTACATGATGATTAACTTCAAAATTATATTTAAGTAAATGGGGGAACACTTTGAAAATATATTTGTATTAAAAACTGATTTATTAGTGTTGTAAAAAATTATTATTATTATTATTAAGTCCTTGAGAAACTTCAAAACGTGTATCTTTGCTTAAACAAAAAAAAATACTAATGTATTCCATTAATTCATATTTATTGTAATAAATAAACGCACATTTTTTTTTGAAATGCACTCACTATAATAATGAAACAAAAGAATGTTATTTACGAAGATATTATCGAATAATTGAAATATAATAATAAAATGACGATTTCGCCAGTGGCGTAGAATTTAAAAAAGTGAATCTCTTTATCTGTCCCTGCCGTACAACACTGGTAATGATTAGACACTATCTTTTTTCGAATTTTTATGTGTAATAAAGTACTATTATCTTATTTTATGTTACTAGCCTTCTGCCAAATTTTACAAACAAATATTAACCAGTGTCAACATAATTGACAAAAATCATTTTTAAATTTTGAAAATGGTGGGTATCAGTAAGAAAGCAGATATTATCTGTGTTTTACATTAAATCTTTTAGGAACAAGGATTATTCAGATAATATACTATGTAAGTATATAAACATGCTATATTTTTGGAGGTAGAAAATTTTATTCCTGTGTAAAAGTTTAATATAGCTGGGCTTATCTTTACATACAAAGTCAACAATGTAAGTAAGAATTCTGAAAGCTGTTCGTAACATACATTTCCATTAATTTGAATCTGCAAAAATTTATTTTTTATGTTATATATTTTTAATTAGTTTATTCTAAACCATCTCGGTAGATTTGGCTAACTTGAGATACGAGAAAGTTCTGATTTTTAAACTACTATTAATTCTGCATCGAGTTCTCCATATACTGCGAGTCAAAACTAATGAATAAATTAGACAGACATTGATTTTTAGAAAGATTCCATCAATTTTTTTTTATAATTGCGTACTTTTTGACATAATATTCAGATATATGGGTGTAAATAATAATAATAATAAAACTTTCTCAGTTCCTCATAATTATTTTCCCAAAGAATGTCTTCTTGTAAAGTAACAAACTTATTACGTTTTGTATCTATAACGTGTGAAAAATGAGTTGCCCCATGGCATTTAGGCCTCACAGGCCCATTGTGCATCCTTCTAAATTAATAAAACTTATTACCTTACAAATCAATTTTGTTTTTGAATTCCGTACTTTTTCAAATATTATTCGGATATACAGGGTCATAAGTGTAAATAATAATAAAACTTTCCCAGCTTTATAATCATTTTTCCCAAAAAAAAATTCCTTTCGTAAAGTAACTTTTTACCTTCTGTATCTGTAACGTGTGAAAGGTGGGTTGCCACACGGCACTTAAGCTTCGCCAGACCCATTGTGCATCCTTCTAAATTGATAGAACTGATTATCTTACTATGTAGGCAATTGGAATACAAATAGGATGGGTATTTAAAAAATACTCGAAGACGTCACTACATTTACACGCATTTCCCTGTATATCTAAATATAATGTCAAACATGGAAAGATTTAGAAACAAAATCGACATGTTTTTGGAATTTTTATTTTCCTTTTATCGAATGTATCTTACTTTTTGCTCGCATCGTATTATGTATTAACCCAAAGATGTTTTAATAATTTCAAGTACACTGCAGTTTAAGTACTTTTTGAAACTGTGGATATAAAAACTCACGATTTTTAATATTGCAAATATCCTGCAGATATCCTTTAATTATCATAAATCCTGAGGTGGTAAATATTGGCTTATCTCCAATCAACTTCCACTCTTTTTAAGCACATAACTACAAACGCGATAAAAACGAAACCCTCCACCAGAAACAAAACAACCACCATTAGTAGTACCGTTCATATAGACGTGTTGTCTCCAAAGTTGCTGGTATTGCGTCCATCTCTGCGATTCGTCCTGCTGCGGCGCCTGGACGTGCGTCAGAGTACCCTGCATCACCCCGACAGGTACTTGGTGCCCCAGCGGCGTAGGCGCTGCTGTAGCATTCGGGGGTGGCGGCAGCTGATAGTCCATTTCCTTCGCCGGTACCACAAAACTCATGCTTAACACATGCTAACTGTGTCCCGGTACAATCACACCCACTAAAAAGAATGTACGTAAACTATGTCCACTCTTCGCCGGTACACCTGAGCGCTCTTCTGCGGTACGACCAGAGAGCAACTGGACGAGTATCAGTGGCGGCTGCGAAGTGAATGGGCGCCGGGAGGGGGCACTAAACAAAACACTCTCGGTTTCGCAAATGCCGGAAACTACCGGCCGACTGAGATGGTCGCGGTTTTGTTATTGTTCTTTCTTTCTCCGACCTGCGGTTCAATTCCGATCCTGCGGATTTGACTTGCCTATTCGGTTAACGCGGAACGCGGATGTTGCGACGGGCCCGGCTGCGATGGATGTGCGATTTCATTTCAGTTTCAGCAGGATCATCTTTGGCGCTATGAAAGAATTTTTAAGACACAGATGGTGGTGGAGCTAAGTAGTGGGAGGATTAAAACATTGTCTAATAAATATTAACACAATTAATCGTCGACAAAAGGAAGCGTAGATTGGATATAGTTTTTTTTCGGAATTACAACTCAAAATAATAGATTACAATGAACCATGTATTTTAATTAATAACTGAATTTTATTACATTCTGAAATATGGTTTTCGATAGGCGTTCTTAAAGATTTTACAAAAAAGTCTGATACCCCAGTAGAATAGTCTCATTAAATTATATGTCTTGAAGCTTTCAGAGACTAATCATATGATTTAACATGAAGGGGTTTTCCGAGAATTCAAGTGTTTTGATTTTAAAATGCCTGAAAATATTTTGAATGTAATAATTAGGGTTATTTCTCAAAATAAATAAAAAGAAATCCCATATGATATGGACTTTTTAAGGGCGATAATTGTATATATTTCTTTTTATAAATGATGAGATTTTTTCTTTATACTACAGAAAAACCACTTATACAGTACCATAACTATTGCCTACTCTTTCTAGGGACTTACAACTCCATTCGTAGCTTATAAGAAAAAATTATTTAAATCTATTACTAAGTAAGCAATTTTCTAGTGTAAAACTGTTTTAGGCAGACATACAAATTATTCTAAATTTGTCTCAAAACCAATAATACGCTTGGGAAGTATATTAAAAACAATAAGGGTAAAATTAATCCTAATAATAAATCGGGGGTATATAAATTAAATTGTGGTAGTTGTCCAAAATTGTATATTGGTCAAACAGGCCGTACTTTCAAAAAACGCTATTCCGAACATTATAATAGCTATACAAAAAACAAAAATAATTCTACTTACTCAAATCATATTTTAGCTGAAAATCATTCTTTTACAGACAACTTTGAAATTTTACATGTAGAAAATAAGAGCCTTAAATTAAACCATTTAGAAACACTTGAAATAAATAGATTTAAAAATTCAGATAACTTACTAAATGATCAATTAGATATTAATAATTCACCCTTATTAAACCTCTTTCCCAGTTTTCTGTGAGATAATCCCGGTAATGGGCTATCTTATTGTTATTTGATGGATATTATAATTACCTAAGTACCCTTATTTACTTTAAATAGTTAGTTTATTTTGTAATGTTATTGATGTTTTCTTAAGTACTTTGTTTTGTTAAATTATTTTGTATATATATTGGATACCGAATTGTAAATAGTCACATTTGAAAAAGAAGTTGTACTTCGAAACATATGTCATGTTAGTGTTTGTTTAAAAATTTTTATTTTTAAAATAAAAGTGTGAAAATCTACCAAATTTGGTTTTACTCTTTCAAAATCAAAAGGTACGATTGTAGTTGTAACCCCCTAGAAATGTAGGTTCTAGTTACTGCACTGTTTGAGTACTTTAGCTCTAATACGCGTATACAGAACAATCTGAATTGCATATAATTTTTGGATTACAGTGACTAAATAAAGGATTTCTATACCCATTTGACCGATATAGTTTTAGATAGGCGTTTTGAAAGATTGTACAAAAAAGCGTTTGAAAAAATAGTCAGTATATTACCAGATAAATTATTTAAAACCATCGTCTGTACAAAACGGGCTACAGCGTTTTCATTACCCCATTGAATTGTATTGCAGACTAATTATACAGGATAGCGGAAAGTCTGACAACAAGGTATTTTCTTTGAAACGAATGAATTTATGATGATTATGAAATTGTAGGTGATAAATGGGACTGTATTTTGCATTTTACGTGACGTCAGCGTTTAGCGTACCACCGCCATCGTAATTTTTTTTTAAAAGAGAACTTGGGGCTAGTGACATATGTGAGAATAGCTTATTTTTTCTTTTTTTCATAAATACTAAAAAAAGTACCACATTAATATTGAAAAATCATATAATTCTATTAATATATTTCTGTTTTTTACTATTCCTGGTTCACCACTGGTAGATAATTAACCTGAAACTAAAAACAGTAGTTGGCAGTGAAAAATGTCAAAAACATTGTGTAGGTATACAATAAAGAGTCAGATTTAATTTAGATAATTGTATTTGATAGAAAACGTATTTATTTTATGAAGAAGTAAGTCACCTGTATGAAGACTAGTCTTCATAGTCCTCAAAGACCTTCTATAAGTAGATATAGTAGATATCTAGAATAATGAATAAAGTTGTTAAAGAAACTATAACGTACAGCAGGAGTGCCCAAGGTGTGGCAGACCAAAAACTACAACTAATGAAGATAAAACTTTATATGTTCTACTAGTTAAAAATATTAAAACATCTATATATGAACTCTCAAGAAATCATGGCATTAACATAAAGACTGCACAAAACATTTTACATAAAAATAATTTTCACCCTTATAAAATTCAAAGCCACCACGAATTAGCAGGAGATGATTTTTATCGGAGGTTAAAGTTTTGTGAAATGGTTTTAGAGAAAATTGGTAGGCAAAACAATTTTTTAGATTCTATTATATTCAGTGATGAAACTAGATTCTGCTTGAACTGTACTGTTAACAGACAATTACCAGTACTGGTCAGATTCTAATACGTACTGGATGCATGAGACTCATACACAATATTATCCACAAAAAGTAAAGGTGAGAAACCATTTGATAGGTCCTTCTTTTATTGACGACGCTCTTACAGGTGTAAATTATCTTAATATTCTCCAGCATCAAATTGTACCTGAAATAAAAATTAATTTCCAAATGTGAACGTCTATTTTCAACAACATGGTGCCCTTGCACTCTATCACATTTGGATACCGTTTTCTCCCAGATATGGATTGACCGAAGAGGTAGAATTAAATGGTCGGCAAGATCTCCCGGCTTGATTCCACTTGATTTTTGTGTACCTTACTAAACAGACCAACTAATATAAATGGGTTAAAGAGTCGCACACGTCTTGAAATGCAGGAAATTTCTCCATAAATGATTAACAAGCAGTATCGGCTCGTGGGGTGATTCACAGTGACAGAATATAGATATCAGTATAGATGTATGAAAAAACTTTCCGTGTTTTAGAAAGTTTATATTATACCTTTAAAACAATGACAGTTTTTTTACCTATATCTGTACCGGAATCTATATTCTGCTACTGTGAACCCCCAAAATGTTGGTCACGAGCCGCCCTTGTTAACAAGTATATTATAATAATAATAATATCGCTTTTATTGACATTAAATATTCGGAACTTCCAAGATAGATTGTATTATTGTCAAAAAACAACACTTTGTGCACTTGTTCTGAAAAAAAAAAAAAAAAAAACTGCATTTATTTTTATTTGTTTTAGTTATTACTTGTGTAAATTAATGTAACTGTTCAACAATTACATGTATTATGTCTTCGGCAATTTTTTCATGTATCAAAATAGTAATGTACTTTTTTAGTATTCTTGAAAAGAGGAAAAGTAGGATTTCTCTTATATACCACTCGACTTATGTGCCATTTAAAAAATTCAAGAAGGCGGTGGTACGCTTAATGGTGACATTACATAAATTTGACATGTCCTCTAAAAAATGCAGAATACAATCTCATCATTGAGGTAGTATTATTATAGGGAGACGCAATTACGTGGTCATAAGCGGTATCAGTCCGCCATATTTATGCCCTTTTATTGGACTGACAACATCGGTAGTGACAGGTCTAATTAAGGAATACTTCCTTGTGAAATTCAAGGAAAGGTGGGATGAAACAAGAAGCTGCAAACTTTCCAGGGAGCTTATAAGTTATCATGACAACATTACAGCGAAAAAATACTTGGACTATGAGTAGACAGAATCTGCGCCTGACTGGACATTGCCAACTACGGAAGCATCTTCATATTATAGGGCTGTGAGAATCCGCACTCTGCAGAGAGTACGACCAAGAGGATGAGACCATCGAGCATTTCCTCTACGACTGCCCGATACAAGAGAAGCATCTCTTGGCGACGTTGTCAACTACATTAAATCTGTAGGCTGGCTCACGAGCTGGGAGGTGCCTTTCTACTTAGGAGAATGCACAATGGGCCTAGTGATGCCTCAGTGCCATGAGTTATCTTACCCTCCACACATTGCAGATACCTACAAAACAGTATTTATTGTTTTCAAAGCATTTTTTTGAGCATTACATCGACCGAACATCAACATGGTTATGTTCGTTTAAGGGATAATGTTGTCTCTACTCTTAATCCTTTAGAGGTAAATCATAGTAGTATATATAACAAGTGTGCGTGGCACACATCGTAAAAAACATATTTTAAGGCATGAGTTATATACTATATTTTTTTATTGTCAAACAAAAATCAAATAAATCTAAGAGCATAAGGCACCACAGTAATAAGATATTTTATATAAATAAAAAGTATCTTGGTCCCGAGTCACTTCTCGTCGAGATGGTGCAGGATCATTTACTTCATGTACCTACTCTGTACCGCCTTATTTGAACGTGATAAAGTTAACGCGGGTCTCTTGACAAGTGTAATTTGAATGCGGCAGAGTGCGATAGACTAACTCCGCTTACGAGGAATGAGCTGTCCAAACTTAGCAATACATTCAATAATATAAAGCTAGATGCATAACCACAGAACATAAAATGTACCGGATGACTACCTAACAGATTATTTTTCTTCAAAACACAGTAACTCTCTAATAATGTATCCATAATTATTTATCTGGAACTTTATCTAAAGGTGAAACCACTGACCCTTGGCATTAAAATATTTTGGGTATTTCTTGACATTAAAGACTAAGTACACCTACGTTTAGTAACTAAGTTACTAAAAACAATTTAAACTTCAACTGAGACACGTTTTAACTATAAGTATCGATGTTCTAAGTTCTAAGTTGTGAAAATAAAAATATTTTGTGACCCTTTTACAGTTCTTTATCAACACATAATTATTATTTCTAAACACTGTTCTCGGGTGAGATCCTTCGTCGT